CAGGGGGTTTTGATGGGGGACTGCATCTTGGAGCCCATCCTTGTGCTGGCCACTTACCATCCTCAGATGGTGCTGCTGAACAAGAGCAGGCTAGGGCATTGGCGTTCCCCAAGAGGAGAGTGGAGACCCAGGAGGGGGGGGGGTCCCTTGGGAGAGGCACCCCAGACCCGGGATTCCTTTTGCAGCTCTCCCAGTCAATAATTCCCCCCACCCTCCGCCGCCAACCAGTGTTACCACGAGTCAACCTAAAAAAAAAAAAACAAATAATAAGAGAAACAACAAATAGTAAACTATGGTCATGCAAGAGGAAGACAGTGAGAGCAAGGGTGAGGAGGATTCCTGGGGTATCCCATAATAGCTCATGGTTTGACTGACAGCTAGGGTGACGTCAAGTCGGAGGTTGCAGAATGTGAGGCGGCGGTGGAATGCAGTGGCTCAGCAATCTTTGGGGACCGTAGCTGTCCCGTTGTGCATGACAGCCTTGCCCACTCAGCTGCCTGCTCTGTGTGTCAGGGTGGACACAAGCGACTCCGCCTCCCCAGCCGTGTCAGGCAGGGCCTGGCTCAGAGGTGCCTGGGGTCTGGAGGGGTGAGACTTAGAACTGCACACATGTAAGACCTAGGCCTGTGTGGCATCAACCTTGAGTCACACACCCCCCAAGAACTTCCAGATGTTTCCAAGACCACTGCCAAGGCACCCTGCTGCTGCGATAAACATCTTCACACATATACACACACAACAAATGTACAGAACCAGATATACAACACCATACACACATCTATTAGCTGTAGACGTGTATTTACAAGATTCAGATGTGATTCTGCCACTCTGAGCATTTTATTCATTGTGCAACGTTAAAAGCCATGTGGGGTCACCACGGTGGCCCAGCAGATCAGGCCACCATCTGTGATGATGGCATCTTATATAACTGTGGGTGTAGGCTCGGTTGCTCCAGTTCTAACCTAGCTCCCTGCTGATCACCTGGGAAAGCAGCAGAGGACGGCCTCAGTGCCACACACAGGTACCATTGTACTGACTGCTTCTATGGGTCGATAATCCAGAGGCCCAAACCCTCCAGGTCACCCTAGATGGTCAGCTTGGAGTTAATGCTGGCACTCCAACCTCATCCATAGGGATTGGGTATATACACACACACACGTACATTTTTCATCTACTTAAAGCCAGGGTTAGGGAGAGAGAATGGCAGGACCCCCAGCCAGGTCTCCCACACAGGGGGCAGGCTGCTTGCCTCCCAGGATATGTAAGCAGGAAGATGGGTGGGGAGCGAAGAAGCCAAGACTCAAACTGGCACTCCTGTGTGGGAAGGGGCATACCACATTGGAAGGTGATTGCAGCACCACAATGCCAGCCTCAGCCGTAGGAACTAAATAAACAAAGGGAGAAGATGGGAGGGGGAGTGTGGAGGGTGAGAGAGAGAGAAAGGGAAGGAAGGGAAGGGTTGGGAAGAGGAGGGGAGAGGAGAGAATTCCCAATGGCCACAGGGAGTAGTGGGTTGCACCCTATCTGCACACGTGGTTACTCTGCAGTTGACTGGCCTGTTCTGCTCAGTACTTGCACCTGCAGTCTCTCAGCCACATCTCTCCATCACTTCCATAAGGACCACTTGAGCAGACTAGGCCCAACTGTGCTCTTCCAACTCACAACCACAGAGAAAGCACCAGGACCCCCAAAGAATGCAATTGTGCAATCCAAGCACCCCTTAAAGTCAGCCTAATCTGTAAGTCCAAGGATTGGCATTGGGTTGATAAAGGGTTCATTGTTTTAAGATTTTTAACTTTTATTGGAAAGGCAGATTTCCAGAGAGAAGGAGAGACAAAGAGAAATATCTTGCACCTGCTGGTTCAGTCCCCAAATGGCCTCAAGACCGGAGCTGAGTCAATGCAAAGCCAGGAGGTCCTTCCGGTCCCCAATGTCTGATGCAGGGTCCCAAAGCAGTGCCCATATGGGATGCTAGTGCTTGGAGGTGGAAGATTAGCTAACTGGCCCAGCCTGCTGACCCTGCAACATGTGGGAGGCTTGGTAGAAGCTTCTGGCTTCCCTCTAGCCCAGCCCTGGCTGTTGCAGCCATTTGGGGAACGAAACAGCAGACCATGACCTATCTCTGACTGTCTCTTTGTGTTAACTGTCTTTCAAATAAATAAATCTAAGAGAAAGAAATACATGCAGCTTTTCTACTAGCTGTTAAAAAAATGCATCATACATACATACATTTAGTGGAAGTGAAACGTGTAACTATAATGTGAGCCCCAGCATTAAGACCCTGAAGTGGTCATTAGATATCACTTAGCAGATGCTAATATTAATTTAGAACTCATGTTGTAAAGGCACAATCAACACACCTTTCATCTTTTTTTTTTTTTTAAGTAGTTAGGAGGGCCAGCACTGGGCACAGTGAGCTAAGCCATGGCCTGTGGCATGCCAGCATTCCATATGGTAACTGGTTCGAGTCCTGGCCACCCCACTTTCCAATCAGCTTCTTGCTGATGTACCTAGGAAAGCAGCAGAGGATGGCCCCTGCACCAACATGGGAGACCCAGAAGTTCCTGGACCCATCCAGTTCTAGCCATTGTGGTACTTCTGGGGAGTGAACCAAAAGATGGAGGATCTCTTTGTCTTTTCCTCTCTCTCTGTGCTATTATTCATACAGCTACTAGAATAGTAGAATAGGATAGGATAGAATAGAATAGAATAGAATAGAATAGAATAGAATAGAATAGAATAGAATAGAATAGAATAGAATAGAATAGAATAGAATAGAATGTAGTTATTTTCAGTTTCTTTGAAAGCAGCCAGGGGCAGGGAAAGAGATATCTGTAAGCCCCTGGCTCACTCCCTGCTCACCACAGTCAGGGCTGGGCCAGGCGGGAACCAGGAGCCTGAAACTCTGCCTGTCTTGCCCAGCTACCTCCAGGTGTGCACTGGAAGGCAGCCGGATTGACAGCAATTGCGCATCTGCTGGAACTAAGTGCTCCAGTAGAGATGTCAGCATTGCAAGCCGCAGGTCAATCACTGGATCCTGCACTGCACATGCGCCTGTGGTGGCTTTGTGCTCTATAGGCCCCAGGGCTAAGTTACTTGCAAGGGACTGGCGCTGTGGATCGTTATACAAACCAATACCACGTTTAGAGAGCGCGTTTCTTGCGTCTCATCTACCCCTTTCCTCCCTTTTTGGTTGCACGGTTTTAGTCGCCTGGGCCTCCTGTCTCTGACGTGGACCGTGCAGGGGAGGGTGGAGGGATGGGCCGGTGGGCACGCTCTAGGCCAGAGGACCTCGGCTGCTGGGAGCCCAAGCCAGGCCGGAGCTTGTCCACAGCGAGGCAGTGGACCTTCCGGCGCTGCGCTGTCCCCTGCTGGCCGCAGGCGGGAGGTCACACACAGGCTGTGAGGTGGCTTTGCAGTCTGGGGTCTAGTGTCCAGCTTGCTGGGCCAGCAACAAGCATTGTGTCGTGGAATAGGTCTGGGGAGGCCAACAGACCAGAAGGCGCTGTGGCATGGCGAGTGAAGTTGTTTCCTGCAATGCTGGCAGCCCTCACAGGTGCTGGGTTCAAGTCCCGGCTGGTCCACTTCTCATCCAGTTCCCTACTGATGCGCCTGGGAAAGCAGCAGAGGAGAGCCCAGGTGCTTGGGCCTTGCACCCACCTGGGGGACCAGCGTGGAGCCCAGGTTCCTGGCCGTGGTAACTGGAATGTGAACCAACATCCTCTCTGACACTCCACCTCTTATGTAAAAATGAATCTTGCCAGGAGTGTCATAGTTGAGAAAGCCGCTCAGCGGCGTGGTCCCCGAGTTTGTGTGCATTTTCCAAAGGCGCTCCTGGAACATCACCACGCATGCTTATTGTCTACTTGTTTAGCAACGGCATCCCATATGGGTGCGGGTTCGAATCCTGGCTGCTCTACTTCGCATCCCTGCGCCCTGCTGTAGGAGAGCAGCGGAGGATGGGCCAAGACTGTGGAAGCCAGTTCGGCGGGAACCAGAAGCCTGGAACTCTGGCCCGGTCTCCCACGTGAGTTCAAGGACCCAAGCTCTTGGGCAGTCTCCCGCTGCCTTTCTGGGCGTGTTCTCAGCCTGCAGTGCCCGTTGGATGCGCGAATCCGGTGGACCTTAAAGGTGCGTGTGGGTGGTTCTGGTATGGTAGCCTATATATAGGTTAAAGTCCTCTCCTCAGCAGGATCCCATATGGGCGCTGGTTCTAATCCCTGCAGCTCCAGTTCCCTGCTTGTGTTCTGGAAAAGCAGCGGAGGACTTCCTCTCTGTCTCTCCTCCTCTCTGTATATTTGATTTTCCAATAAAAGTAAACCTTTTTTTTTTAAAGTCTGTGTGGGGATGACTTCCAAGCCTTCGGCGTGCTGGGACCAGTGGAAGTTAAGATGGGGAAGGTGAAGGAAGGCAGGGAGCAGTGCAGTAGCGCTTGTCCCAGCTAGGCCGGGAGGCAGCGGGCAGCTCCAGGCCGCTTTCCTGCCAGGATAACAGGAATGCTGACTGGTGCACAGGAGGTTCGGATCCTCCCGAGGCCACGGGAAGCTCCAGTCTGTGACCTCCGCCTCCCTCCCCAGCAGGCCTGACTCCGCCCTCTTCCTCTCTCCCTGCGCTCCTCTGTCCTGGCCCCCCTCTGCCTGAGTTTTGGGGTGGGTTGCGGGGACACCGCCCCTTACAGCGGACCGTCAAGACAGATCCTGATTGCACTAAATCGTTTAACATCCAAAATATTCTTTGGCATCGGCAGTGCGTGTGGCACCTAGCTGGCTGAAACCCGTCCTGCCCGGAGTCGCTGTGTGGGAGCAGAAGTGGTCAGAGTCCGCGCGTGAGTGTTGCCTAAAAAGGAAGTTCCACCGTTCCCATACCGGGAGTCGAACCCGGGCCGCCTGGGTGAAAACCAGGAATCCTAACCGCTAGACCATATGGGAACTGATAGTAGTGCTTCCCCTGTGGGTGTATACGACGTTGGCGTCAGCGCAGCCGCCTGCGCACTACAGACAAGTCCGTCCCCGGAGCTCGCGCCCTCTGCCGGCCCCACTGGGTACGGCGCGCCCTGCGCTCCGGGAACGCTGCAGCCCGGGCGAGCCCACCGCGCCTCGCTTTGCCCCAACCAGCTTGAGACGGTGCGCGCCGGCCGACGTGCACTCTACTCCACAGACGCGGGGACCCGTGTTCATAGACAATTCGCGGTCCAAGCAATGACTGGACTCCTACTGGTTCAGCGCTGCTTGGAAAGGACTCCTGCCAGGGGGCAGCGACGTCTGCAGGCTCAGGACTTAGTGAGGTGTCCTGGGGGCAGCAGGTGGCCAGGGACCTCGGCCACCCACACAGGCAAGAGAGTGCTCCCCACCCCAGCCTTGCAGCTCCGGATCCTATATGCCCAGATCCAAACCCTAAACCCAGGAACGGTGGGGCAACAGCTTGAAATGGACCCTCAAAGTCCATGGAGCAGATCTGGGGCTTGGGAGCCTGGCCACTGCGGCCGGCTTAGTGATTCCGCAGTTCTGAGTGGTTGGATATGTATTTATTTTATATATATATATATATATATATATTTTTTTTTTTAAAGAAAGCAACACCGTAGAGACAAAGCATCACCATTCAGAGACAAATGGGGAGCAAGTAGGGACAGCTCTACTGTGGACCAAGAACAGGGTTCCCCCATAAGTAAGAGTTCTTAGAAATTACTGGAGCCCCACAAGGAACGGAAGTGGCCCTTCCACGAGTGCCCAGAGGCCCAGAAGGGCTCTTCCCCATTCCACTGACAGGAGTGGTCAGGTGGCTCACTCCTGTGAGGATGAAGGGCTCTGTCCACTTCGTCCCCCCAGCCCCAGCCCCAGCCCCAGTGAGGTGTGGCTTTCGGCTCTCCCCCGACTATGGTGGGCCTGCAGGTGTTCACCACCCGGCTGACCCACCCGTGGCTCCCCCACAGGCACAGTTTCTGCAGCCGCCCCGCTACCAAATGCAGCCTGGCCACACTGACACCAGGGCCACTTTCACCGGGGATGCAGGGGGGCTGTTCAGGAAGGAGGAGGCCCTGCACGGCCTGCAAGGCGGATGCTGCCCGGGGACAGCTGTGGCCACGCGTCAGGCAGCGCCCGGCTCCGGTGGCCGCAGTCTCTGCTGGAGTGTCCGCAGCTGCTTCTGGCCCTTGCTGATGCGGATCTGGAGGGTAGCGATGTCGGCCGCCAGCTGCAGGCCTGCGGGAACAGGAGACCACATCACCTGAGGCTCCAGGCCTCGGCCGCCCCACACTATTCCTGACACGCTGGGGAGGGGGTGCCCTAGGACCTTCTGATGTCCCCATGTGGTTGGCATGGATACCAGCTAAGGAGCACCCCGCCCCCTCCCGGCATGCCAAGGGTTGAGACCACCAACTCCCTCGGGGAATCCCACCTGCCTCTCACACCTACCACGGGCAGGGGTCCGTGCCCTTCAGTACACTCACCGTCCCGGAAGCTGGCTTGGGCTTGGCGCAGACTGTGGGGAACCAGGATCCCGAACCAGTTGAGAGGGTCTTGCGGGGGAGTGGTGGTCTCGGGCTCCGGCTCCGGGGTCTTAGTGGGACCCTTGCGCTGGCGCAGGGCTGCTGGAAGGGAGGGGGGGGGTCTGAGGAGGCTGGGGTCTCACTCCTCTGGAGTTATTTTGGGGGGCAATGCGGAGTTGGGAAACCCGGCAAACAGCTCCCGGCCGAAGCCTTCCTTTGGTCCCCTGCCTTGCTTATGGGACTGTAGCGCCCCGATCCCATCGCCGGGTGGGAGATGACCGCTTCCGTCCACCGACACGGTCAGGTACCCTACCACCTCTCCCACCGTCCCCCACGCAGGCCGGGCAGCTACCGGGTCAGCGCGCTCACCTGCCTCGCGGGGCCCCACCTCCTCCGGGGTCCAGGCGCCGGCGCGCACCACTCTCAGCTTCTGCAGTCCGTCCTGGGCCTCGCTGGACGACAAGGTGGGGCGGATGGTTGGACAATTCCGGGGGCGTCCCCCGACCCCTGCCCGCCCGGCGGCAGCACCCGAGGTCCCTCACCTGGTGCACACGCACACCTGGGGCTCCATGTGGGACGCGTACTGCAGGGGACCCACCGACTTGACACCCATGGCGTAGCGCGCCTTGGCCAGCGACAGCCAGCCCTGGGGACAGACGGGGCAGGGGCATGGAGGAGCTCGCCCGTGCGCACGCCGCGAGCTCCCGCTGCCCCGCACGCCAGCCCCCCCACGCCCACCTCCTCCACGCGGCCGTTCAGCACCGCCCGCTTCGTCTCCAGCTCCTCCAGGTCCCCGAGCAGCTGCAGGATCAGCGCGTCCAGCTCCGCCCGCGGGTCCTCGGCCGCCATGTCCGGCCCGTCTCACCCGCGTCTCCGGTGGAGCTGAGGGCCTGGCCTACAGCTGCCATCATCTTCAGGTTGTCCAATCACCGTCAGGCACGCTGGTTTGACAGCCAATCGGCGGGTGGGACACGCCCCCAAGGGGACGGTCCCATTCATGGCCCCGGACGCCCGACGGCTGCCAGCACCCTGTTTAAGCGGTGCGGGAGCACGGGGACAGTGTCCCGCAATGAGCGTCCCAAGTGTATCTGCCAACTGCGCTGTCTGCCAGGGCTGACGGAGCTTCCAGATCGCTTTTGGAGGCGGGAGCATCTTAAAAATGATCCTAACGCTGTGGCAAAGGAAGGCGAAGCCGTACGCCACCATTTTGATTAAGGGAAGAGTGGCTTTTACACTTCAATTTACAGAAGACGCCGGCCGGGATCTTCCCAGTGGATCGGTTTTCTCGAAGTGCCGATCAGGGTGGCTTTAGGAGCTTACCAGCTTAAAACTGGCCAAAGCCGCCTGTGAGCAGCAGGAACCGAAGCCCTAGGCGGCGGACATCTTCATTAACGGCCGCCCAACGCCACTCAGAGTGACAACACTGTGAGGCCAGCCTATTGGTTATTCCGGCGAGCACTCGCGCGGGACTGACCAATCACCGTGAGGCACCCGGCTGCTGTTCGCCATGTTAACTTTGGGCATTTATCCAGAGCTGCCGACTGGAGTGAAGCCTTTACGCTGCTTCCCTGAGTGAGGGCGGAAGTAAGGGCTGCGTGACTCCGGCTGTGCTCGCAGTCTGTCCCGCATCCACGTGGGACGAGAGGCGCCCAGGATGGTAGGACTGTGGGGTTGAGCGCGTGTTTTAGGGCGTGGGGGTGGAGTGGGGTTGGAGGTTCGCCTTCTTGACCGGACTGGCTGTTCCGTAGCTGCGCCGCGAGGCCCGCCTGCGCCGCGAGTACTTGTACCGCAAAGCCCGGGAGGAGGCGCAGCGCTCGGCCCAGGAGAGGAAGGAGAAGGTGCGGCGGGCGCTCGAAGGTACGAAATCGGGGGGCCCTGGGGTACCTGCCTGCTGGCGGGGCCCGTGTACCCGCCGACGTCCGTTCGGGGTCCCGGGTGGCCAGCGCTGCCTGGCCTGACCACGGCTTGCTGTGGTGTCCCGCTTTCCACGGGTCGGAATTCCTGCCTGGCCTGGACGAGATTCCCAGGCATCGTTAGGATTCTCTTGGAAAAGTGTCCCCTGTCAGACTTCATGATGCCGCTTGCACTGTCCAGGTGTCGTGCTTGTGTGTTGCCCTTTGTCGGAGGGGGGTTTTGTTTCCGTTGGGTGATGCACCCCGCTTCTCCCCTCCTGCCCCGCATTCGCTCCGATGCCCCCAGGTCTTCAACCTGTGACAGTATGTGGGAGTGTATGTGTCCCTTTTTGCAGCTTTTCTAGTTCCCGCAGTTGAGTCGCCCCTGAGGCTCAGTCTGTTTTTTTTTTTCTTCCTGATGTTGGTTTTGGGGTGATCGCCACACGCTCAGGTGTGTTGCCGCAGAGTAGTGCCCGTTTCCAGGATAGAGTTGTGTAGCGAGGTGGGGAAGGAAGGCCCTGGCCTCCCAGCCTTGACGTGGGGGAACTCCTGAACCCACAGCGGCTGACTTTCAAAGTTTAAGATGGAGTGGTAAGCCCTTCTCCCGTTAAGGGGAGCTCAGAATACCAGGTCAGGAGGAGGTGATTTTGCTCTGATCTTCCCTCCCCATGTGGCCTTGGCCTAGTAGGGATTAGGATCTTCCCAACAGATTGGTGGGGAGGGAGCAGCTGCCCCAGGGGTGGAAACTGAGGGTCCGCTCGGTGCACGCATCTCACACAGCTCCGTCTTCCGCTTTGCAGAAAACCGGCTGATCCCTACCGAGCTTCGCCGGGAGGCGCTGGCCCTGCAGGGCTCCCTGGAGTTTGATGATGCCGGTGGTGAAGGTGAGCCCACTGCACAGCCCTCCCTGACCCTGAGCCACGTCCTGCCCCCAACTGGAGCCCTCTGGCCTCTGCCCACACCCTTGTGGGACATGCTGGGCTGTTCCTAAACAGTCCACTACCGTCACCCTGGAACTGTCCCCAGCGCTGGCACCTCAGGGACTCTGCCCTGTGCTCCCGATCCCTAAGCTGGCAACCGTCAGAGCCGTGTGACTGGCACGACTGAACCGCAGATGCCACAAGGCACCCACATCCTCGGTTACAGGTGCACCTGCCGGGTGCTGCCTCCTTGGCAGAGTCGGCCGTGCCCCTTGCAGCTTCACACCCCAGGACGGTGTCGTGTTCTTGTTCCTCGTGCTCCCAACAGGGGTGACCAGCCACGTGGATGACGAGTACCGGTGGGCCGGAGTTGAGGACCCCAAAATCATGATCACCACCTCCCGAGACCCCAGTTCCCGCCTTAAGATGTTTGCAAAGGTACCCACAGCCCTGGGTGGGCAGTGAACAGACATCACCAAGGACAAGTGGGAACCACCCTCTGGGTCCTGACAGGATGCTGTGGTCCACACCTCACACAGGAACTGAAGTTGGTGTTCCCGGGCGCCCAGCGCATGAACCGAGGCCGACACGAGGTGGGGGCGCTGGTGCGAGCCTGCAAAGCCAACGGGGTCACCGACCTGCTGGTAGTTCATGAGCATCGAGGCACACCGGGTGAGGAAGGCGGCTGAACGGCTGGCAGGCAGGCAGGCTGGTGGGTGGAGGGTGGGCCGAGGGCAGGCTGGGGTCCTGACTGCCCTCTCCTCCGTCTGCCCCCCATCAGTGGGGCTCATCGTCAGCCACCTGCCCTTCGGCCCCACTGCCTACTTCACGCTGTGTAACGTGGTCATGCGGCACGACATCCCGGACCTGGGCACAATGTCGGAGGCCAAGCCCCACCTCATCACCCACGGCTTCACCTCCCGCCTGGGCAAGCGCGTGAGTCTGGGGTGTCTCCCAGAGGCCGGGAGGTGAGGGGTGTGGGATTGAGGGGCCGGGCCGGACCTTTGACACCGCCCTTCCCTGTGCCCCCCAGGTGTCTGACATACTGCGCTATCTGTTCCCTGTGCCCAAAGATGACAGTCGCCGCGTCATCACCTTCGCTAACCAGGAGGACTACATTTCCTTCCGGTGGGTCGGGCTCAGGGCTGGCATCCAGAGCTGTGTGTCCCAGCACCGCTATGGCTGACCTGCAAACCCTCCGCCCCTGCCACCATCCTCTCTCCGCAGGCACCATGTGTACAAGAAGACGGACCACCGCAACATAGAGCTGACCGAGGTTGGGCCCCGCTTTGAGCTGAAGCGTAAGTTGGGGGCTTCATGCTATGTGCCTGGTGAGGGGAGTGGAGGGAAGAGGGGCTTCGCCAGGCTGGTGGTGACGCCCCTGTCCCCCTGCCTCCTGCAGCGTACATGATTCGCCTGGGCACACTGGAGCAGGAGGCCACAGCTGATGTGGAGTGGCGCTGGCACCCCTATACCAACACTGCCCGCAAGAGGGTCTTCCTCAGTGCTGAGTGAGCCTACTGCAGGACAGGGCGCCAACCAGAAGACCACAAGGCCCCTGAGAAGGGAAGGGGTGCCAGGGTGCCTGACAGCCTCCAGGCGGTTGAGCCTCAGGTCAGCCCTGTCCTGGTGGTGACTAAGCCGCTGGCGGTCTCTGGGGGGTGTTGGCCTCAGCTTGGTGTTCTTGGGACCCTGTATGTGGGTTCCCTGTGTGGGCCCTGGCATGCATGGCACCCTGCAGCGAGGGCTTTTGGTTCTGGGTGCCCGCACATTACCCCAATTTGACTCCACCAGAAGGCTGCCAGCTTGCTGCCCTTGCCAGCAACCCCCCCCCATCCTCCTGCCCCCAGCCCCTGTACCCCCCTCTGTCCCCTTCTCTGAGTGACCACTGCCAGTGGTTGTGGCCGTGGTCTCCCATCGTGCCCCTCGCTGAGTGTCCCGTCCCCAGGCTCAGCCAGGCCGTCCCAGGTGACAGGGTGAACGTGTGCCCCTCTTCCTTTATCCATTGCCCCTTGGTGGACTCTGGCTCTCTGTGTCCGGCTCCTAGAAGTGTGACAAGGAGTTTGGGATCACAGGCGCTTCCAGAAAGTGCCCGTTCCGTTTTCCTGGCTGCACGCCCAGGATTGCTGGATCACGTGGTGCTGCAGTTTTTAACCTTAGGAGGAGCCGAGTCCTGCTTTCCAAGACTGCCCATTTCCGTTTCTGCCAGCCGGGCACCAAAGTTCCCCATTTCCCACACGCCTGGCCGTATTTATCATCTCTGTGCCCCCTGAGGGCCTTGATTTTTGGTGATGAAGCTTCTTTCATACACGTTTTGTCCATTTATATGTTGTCTTTTGAAAAATGCTTATTCAGATCCCTTGCCCCCCCCCTTTTTTTTTTTAAGAAATAAATGCTTCACTCTTGTATTTTTCCTGTTTTTCTTTTTTCAAGATTAACAGGCAGAGAGGGACAGAGACGCCGTTGATCTACTGCTTTGCTGCACGAGTGGCCGCAACGGCCAGGGGTGGGCCAGCCTCAAGCCAGGAGCCTGGAACTTCATCTGGGTCTCCCACACGGGTGCAGGGGCCCAAGCCCTTGTGGCCATCTTGTGTCGCTTTCCCAGGTGCACTAGCAGGGAGCTGGGACAGAAGTGGAGCAGCAGGGACTTGGACTAGCTCCCATATGGGAAGCCCGCACGGCAGGCAGTTTTTACCTACCTGAGACATGATGTCGATCCCCTCGACCTTTGAATGTGCCTAGTTTATAAACCTCACTCTATCCTTGGTAGGTATGCCAAGGGCATAGAGCACGTAAGAGGCTTGGTACTACTCATGGCTCCGGGCATGCAACACAGGTCTAGAACTTAACCACCAACAGGTGGGGCGAGGGGGATGGGAGGCATCACTGTGTGCTGTGGGGAGGTCTAGCCAGCTGAGATCTGAAGTTCAGACGCCTGTGCCCCACAGCTGTGTACCTGGCCTCAACAGTTCCCAGGCTCAAAAAGCAGCACAGACCAGGGAAGGTCACCGTCATTCATGATTCAAAGTCATGGGGAAGGCCTGGAGGGTGATGGCCCTGGCCCAGCCCCAGCCACTGTGGACATTTGTTCAACAAACAGGTACATGGGAGAGCTGCTCCTTGACTGGCTGCCTCTCAAATAAGTAACATTATTATTATTTTTTTTTTTTTAAAAAAAAAGGTTGTCAGTCATGCCCCTGGGAGGTGAGGCTCACCTGCTGCTGAGGCCAGGGCAGGAAGGAAGAAGATGGCAGTGCCCGGGCCAGCTACTCACTGCCTGCAGACAGCGTGGTTCGTACATGGACACAGGTGCTTGGGCAATTTGCACACTGCCAACCTTCCCCGTGTGTGCTGCTTTTTGATGTCTAACTTGAGGACATTCCCAACGGCTGCATCAGAAAGTCCTTGCTGACCGTATCACCTTATAAAGGGTTACCCTGTCCTCATCCCATGATGGTGCTGTGCTGGAAGGTCATGGACCAGCAAGTTCATTCCCAGCAGCCCTTCTCTGCTCACAAGCTCTGGAGGGAGGCGGCAGTGGATGGAGTGCGCTGGGCAATGGCCTGGAGGGGCAGCCTGCAGCCGTGTCCCTCCGTGATGGAGGGACAAGAGTGCTCTCACACCATTCAGCAAAGCAGAGCACTCGGGAGCCCATCACCTCCAAATACTGCTGGGGTTCATGACCTCTGGGGTTAGCTTCAGTACCAAGAACCTAAGTTGGGAGGCAAACCTACACAGCAGCACACTATTCAAAATACAACGGCTGAAAACTCCCAGATAAACTTTACCAAGCGAATGTGGGTGCAACGAGTGTGCAGTCGCAGTTTTGTGGTTGTTTAAAGATTACTGATTGATTTGAAAGGCAGAGTTAGAGCGAAAGGGAAAGACAGAGCCTCCCTCTGTTCACTCCCCGAATGGCTGCCACAGCCTGGGCAGGACTGATCAAAAGCCAGGAATGTCTGGGTCCCCCCAGCTGGGCATGCAGGGGCCAAAGTACTTGGGCCATCCTCCCCTGATGTCCCGGGCACATCAGCAGGCAGCTGCATCAGAAATGGAGCAGCTGGGACAGGTACCAGTGATGCACCTGCTATGCCATGGCACTGGCTGAAATAAGGACATTTTTAGAAAATATAACAAAGGAGTTGCTACAATGAACACATTCTCTTCCAGATGGAAATCTCTTACTGTCCTGTATTTACTCTTTGAAAAATGTGTTTTATTTGAAAGGTAGATTGAGCTCCTGGGCACTCTGGGATGCCCGGCAACAGCAAGGGCTGGGCCATCTCCCATGTGGGTGGCAGGGCCCCCCCAGAGAGCACATTAACAGGAAGCTGGATAGAAAGCTGGGCTAGGACATCTGATGAACAGTACATAAGATGGATGTATTTCATTTGAGTTCGAAGAAAGGTGAGCGCTTCTACGCTGGTTCGTTTCCCAGGCGTCCAGGCAACAGAACAAAGGCAGTGTCTTTAACTCCCTCCCTTGATGTAGCTGAAAGGCACAGGACATAAAGCTGTGGACGGTTAGGTGGCGGGTGCTGGGGGCCCAGTGGACATAGCCTTGTTTGTTTTTTAAAGATTGATTTTTATTGGAAAGTCAGATATACAGAGAGAAGAGACAGGAAGATCTTCCATCTGCTGATTCGCTCCTCAAGTGGTTGCGATGGCCATGCTGCGCCAATCCAAAGCCAGGAGCCAGGAGCTGTTTCTGGGTCTCCTGCACAGGCACAAGGTCCCAAGGTTTTGGGGCTGTCCTCGACTGCTTTCCCAGGCCACAGACAGGGAATTGAATGGAAAACAGGGCCACCAGGATTAGAACCGGCATCCATATGGCATCCTGGCACGTGCAAGGCGAGGACTCTAGCCACTAGGCTACTGCACTGGACCCACGCATCACCTTATTGACGGGCAGTTACTCCTTTTATTTAATTTTTAAAAAAATTTTCCCATTTTTTAATTATAGTTTTGATAATTGTTACATAGTTTAAAAAGGTTCAAGGGCTACAGAAAAGTGGGTAAGACTATTATTTCTACATTGTTTCCGTCATGTATCTGGGGTAAAGGGGGATATTAAGGGAGGACCCCCACCTAGCTTCCCACCCACCCCAGGTCCCGGATGTGGGGCATGCCCTGAGGGTCCTGCTCAAGTGGTTTGATAGTTCAACAGTCATGAATTGCTGCCAGTCTCACCACTCCAAGCATGATGAGGTTGTCGAAGAATCCGCTGATTGACATAGTCCATCTTAGAGTCCCCGTTTGCCCAGTTTTGCCCTGCCAAGTTACTCCTTTTAAAATAATTTTTTAATCAGAAGATAGTCACATCCTGCCTACTACTTGAAACTCTCCATTGCGGTGATGACTTTGGGACGGCTCAGGCTGTCAGGACGAGTGCTACCTGAAGGCGAGCATCCTCCGGGGGCTGCGTGGCCAGCTGGCTTCCTGTTGCTATGCTGCCTGCTGCCCGCGGGTGTGCTTTTAGCTGTGGAGCACTTCAAATGGAGGAAAGCAAAGAGGACAGTCCGTGAGCTGCTCTGTCGGCCAGCCCGACTTCCTTGCCAAGTCCCGACCACTTCCTATAGCCATGTCATCAATTTTACTTTCAAGCCAATGTCACACAGTGCGTCATTTCATCCTTACGTGTTTCCTAAGAGATAAAGACTTAAATTTGTCAGGATCACACCACAAGTTATTTCTCTGTGTCATCAGATACCCCGTAAGTGTTGAGTTCTTGGTTTACGTCATATATCCAAATCAGATCCAGTCATTGCCACTGCTTGGCAAGGCTCCTAAAGTTTTTTTTTTTTAAGATTGTTATTTTTTACTTGAGGTAAGTTACAAGAGAGGGAGAGACACAGAGATCTTCCACTTGCTGGTTCACTCCAAAAGGTCACAACACCAGAGCTGGGGTCATCTGAAGCCGGGAACTAGGAGCTAGGAGCTTCTGGATCTCCCACTTGACTGTAGGGTTCCAAGGACCTGGACCATCTTCCAGTGCTCTCCCAGGCACTAGCAGGGATTTGGAAGGGAAGTGGAACAGCCGGGGCTTGAACTGGCACCCATATGAAATGCCAGCACAGGAGAGGGAGGATTAGCTTGCAGTGCCACTGCATAGGTTCCAAGTGTCCTACTCTTTAAAAAGGATTTATTCATTTTGATAGAAAGGCAGATAGAGAGAAAGATCTTCAGTCTGCTGCTTCACTCCCCAAGTGGCTGCAAATGGCTTGATTTTTGAGCTGATCCAAAGCCATGAGCCAGGAGCCCCTTCCAGGCCTCCCACACAGGTGCATGGACCCAAGGCCCCAGGCTGTCCTCTTCTGCTTTCCTAGGCCACAAGCAGGGAGCTGGATGGGAAGTGGAGCAGCCAGAACATAAACTGACACCCATATGGGATCCCAGTGCATACAAGGTGTGGATTTAGCCACGAGGCCATTGTGCTGGGCCCCTCCTAAATTGTTAAAAGGAGAGGTCTTGCACAGCTCACCCTATTTCAAGTGTAGGATTCAGTGTGGCTTTTATCACACTCATGGGGGTGTGCAGCCTTCACCACAATCTAATTTTGGATCACTTTTTTCCACTCTTAAAGAAACTACCCATCGACTGTTGCTCCCCAGCCCTCTCCAAACACCCCCCAGCCCCTGGCCAGCGGCCAGCTGGCTTCTGGCGAGCGTGCTATTGCCTGTTCTGGACATTGCCATGGTGTCTTCTTGGTGAGCTCTGTTCCTTAGCAGAATGCTTGCAAAGCCTACCCAGCTTGCAGTTCGGCTGATGCATCTGTTGTTTGCATATAGCACATTCTGCCCACTCAGTGGGTTGTTCCCTGCTTTGGGTTTGTTGCAAATAATGCCACTATGAGCCATTAAATCTCCACTTTAAAAAAATTATTTTATTTGGAAGAGTTACAGAGGGAGAGGAAGAGAGAGATCTTCCACCTTCTGGTTCATTCCCCAAGTGACCACAATAATGAGAACCGGGCCGGTCCAAAGCCAGGAGCCAGGAGTTTCTTTTAGGTCTCCCACTCAGGTTCAGGAGCCCAAGCACCTGGGCCATCTTCTACTGCTTTCTCAGGTGCCTTAGCAAAGAGCTGGATCAGAAGTGGAACAGCTGGGATTCCAACTGGCATCCATAGGGGATGTTGGTGTTAGGGACGGCAGCTTTACTCACTGTGCCACAGCACCAACTCTCTTTAAACCTGTGGGAGCATCTCCATTTTCTTGAGGAGCCAGGCTTATTGGTGAAGTTCGTCTTGATTCGCTGATGGTGTCAGTGTATGGTGAGATTTAACCTACCCCTGCTCCATCCCTTCTCTGACTTCACATTGACCCGCAGAACCTGAACCAGGCCCTGGCTCATTTTCTTCCTTACTAATTTGACCTACTTGCTGGGAGTGTTGTGTGCAGTCACCAAAGAACCTCCAATGTCTAGCTGGCATGTAGAACTTTCTAGCCACATGCCAGTTAGCATTTCTGACAGAGCCTAGGAATCCTTCAGCCTCATTTATGCTCACCCAAACAGGTGCACACTGGATTCTCCCCCGCCCCACAAACACTCGTGTTCTCACTGAGCGGCAGCAGCTGGTCCCAGTGACCATCCTGGGGCCCACACTCAGATCTGACGCCAACAGCTCTGCATTCAGGGCCCACAGATAGCTTCCAGCGGTCAAGGTCAAGGCCCCTGGCCAGCCTCAGATGAAAATATGCAGCGAGTGTTGGTCTTTAAATAAAGCACCATGTGCAGATAGGAAGTGTATGCGGCTGGGCTAAAGGTGGGTGTGGAAACTGCAGGCCAAGGACATGGCGGTGAGGCCGCCTCCATCCCCCAGTGCTGTCGACCAGGGCTGTCAGAACATCTATCTAAGAGTTTACCTCTTCCAAGGGCAGGTGTCGAGCAAGGCAAGTGCATGGGCTGTGCCCTGAAAAGGTGGCCCAGCTCAGGCGGTGGGCTGAGCATCTTAAGGGCATCAAGGGTTGGGTAGAAGGCCTATTCCCAGGGATCCCCAGGACCTTCATGAATAGAATCTAGGGGCAGCTGCCCCAGGCCATTCTCCACAAAGAAGCTGCCAGCCTTAGAGCTGGCATGGGGCTGAGAGGAGAGTGTGGTGTCGTTCTTGAACTGACTTCCTCCTTCAGAGAGGGGTCCTTGATTCAAAATCCCAAAGCCTGAGCAACCCCAGGGAGAGCAGAGGATGCTGTGGCAAGAGCCTTTTCCCCAAGGTCTATACCTGCCAGTGGGACTGGGGGACAGCTCTCCTACCCCAGCCTGAAGGTTAACAGAATGAACCAGTTGGGGGGACTTTATTTTTCAAATTTCTTCTACCATTTCTTAGCCTGGCAAAAAGGAAGCAGACCTAGAACTGTCCCCCTAGTGCCACTAGCTTCCTGGGCCAAGGTAGGGTCATGCCCTTTTCCCTTGGCAGTAGCCAGTAGCTCAGACCAGCCTTCTGGCAACATTGCATTGCTCAGCTCTGACGAGTGGGCCCCAAGGTGGCATGCTCCATGAAGGGCCGGGCAGGTGGCTTACTGGCAGTGAGCTTCAGGATACTTAGGATGGAGTCCTTGCTGGCTGTGCCAGCCATGTGGGCTCCTCACCGCTGCTGGCAGGGAATCTAAGAGCAGGAATTGAGCGTGTAGTGCTCTGGGATGAGATAGAGGGGATGGGTGAGTGGGTGAAGGAGATCTGGCGGGGTCACTCTCTGGGGCCTTCCATGTCCCCAAACAGCCCTCGCTATGAGCTCTCAGAGTGCAGATATTTGCTGACATTTAGACCAGGTGGCAGGAAAGCAGGTGGGCTCAATGATCAGAGTGAGTGACAGACCCACAGCCAGAAACACAGACTCCCACCCTACCATGAATGGCAGATCACAGCTGGACCACCTGACTCTCAGGGCACAGGGCAGCATCTAACCAGTTCTGTACACCAGAGGTAGTCAGAAAGATCTTCAGGCACAACCTCCCTTCTCTTCCCCAAGAATCCAGACACATTTGTGGCACATCAGACAGACACACTTCTGCATGGGCAGACAGAACCTGAGGCAGACTCCCAGCAGGACAGACAGCCAGATACACACAGATTGTCTAGCATGGGGTTGGAGACACATGAAGATGCCCCCTCCCTGCCTCTTTGCTGTTCAACTGGAGGGTGGTCCCAGCCAGGCAGGAGACAGAATCCCTCCCCAGAAAGATTAAGAGACTTCACCCCCAGGCCAGCACAATGGCTTAACTGAGTAATCCTCCATCTTCAATCACCAGCATCCCATATGGATGCTGTTTGGTGTCCTGTCTGCTCCATTTCCCATCCAGCTCTCTGCTTATGGTCTGGGAAAGCAGTGGAGGATGGCCCAAGTCTTTGGGACCCTGAACTTTGTAGCAAACCCAGAGGAAACTCCTGGCTCCTGACTTTGGATCAGCTCAGCTCCAGCCATTGCAGAGGCCATTTGGGGAATGAATCAGCAGATGGAAGATATTTCTCTCTGTTTTTCTTTCTCTCTGTAAATCTGCCTTTCCAGTGAAAATAAAAAGAGAGAGAGAAAGAGAGAGAGAGAGAGGGAGAGAGACTGACTTTGTCCTAGTGGCCCAAGCATCCCATCCATTCAGAAGACTGTCTACTGGACAGACTTATCTCCAACCTATCCTATAGGAAGGACCTTAAGCTACAAACCTAGACTCCACTGACCTCCAATGGGACAGAAGATCCTCTTCTGGCCAAGTGGAACCATCCCAGTCGCAGGGTCAGCTCTCCCAGCCCCCAAACTGTACTACACAACAAGGCACAGATGCCCCTAAACCAAAGCCTGCCCTGTGTGTCCCTCAGAGTCTGCGCAGGGGTTTTCCACATCAGAGAATTACCTTGACTCCCGTTACCCCCTCACCAACTGAGCACGCACCTGCGACAACCTGCCCACCCCCACCCAGGGATCCGGGGGCCTTTCCCCGTCGGCGGGTCCCCCTGGTCTGCTACAGTTCTCTCAGAACCTCACCTGGTGGAATTTGGGGCGGGGAGGGTGGGAATCCCAGACTTTACGGAATTGTATCCAAAAATTCGAAATTTTTTAAAAAAGAAGAAGAAGAAAGAAAAACCGGCACCTGGCGGAGGATCATAGGGCTCGACCTAGGACAGAAGCGTCTGGGGGACTGTGCGGATCCACCTGCGGGCGAGGCGGCTGGAGAAAAAGAAAGCGCTCGCACGGGACTCACTTCTCCCTCCCAGCTCGGGAACACGCCGGGCTCCAGCTGATCCCGGGTCCTGGTGCGCGGGACAGTCCCCAGACACCGGTGACCGTGGGGGTGGCCACTCGCCCCTCCGCCCCCGGCCAAGCCGCCGCGCGCTGCCATTGGCGGGCGAGGACCGCGGCGGAGCCTCCTCGGCGGGTGCCCCGCCTCCCGCGGCGTCTACACCGCGGGCGAGTGCCCAGCGCAGCCACTGGACGGCACCTCGCGGGCGAACAGCGCCATGAGCCACAGCCTGGACGCGGCCCGGAGCTTCCTGGAACGGCTGGAGGCGCAGGGCGGCTGGGAGGGAGAGGTCCTCTCCAGCGAGTTCAGCGTGAGTTGAGCGAGTGTGGACGGCCGCGTAGTGCCAGCCCAACGATCTCCTCTCCAGCGCCGGCTGCTTTCCTCTCCCTCTCAGTCTCTCTCTTCCTCCCTCTCTCCCTTCCCCCGCTGCATCTGTTGCCTCAGTCTCTTTCACCATCTACGCAAAGGGCCCCAGCGGGCAAAGTCCAAGGCCGGGCTGGCAGGGACTCACCCGCCCTCGGGTGTGTCCAGCAGTCCTCCTCCCTCTGCGAGGCGGGACGGGCCGCACACTCCCTCTGCGAGGCGGGACGGGCGCGGGGAGGCAGCCGCGGAGCCCGGGAGGTCGGTGGGGTGAACCCGGGGCGGGAGCCCGGCTAGAGTAGCAGGAACAGCAGGGAAGGTGAGCTTGTGCCTTTTCCCTTGGTGACCCCGTGCACGAGGAAGCCTGAGAAGGCGCGGGGTGGGTGCAAGCGCTGAGCACCTCGCGGATGCTGAATCCTTCAGGCGTGCGCATCTCTGCGCGCCAGGAATTCCAACTCGCGTTTCGGGGGTCCAGCCCCTGCTGCGTCGTCCCCCGGACCAGGGCAAAGCCTCAAGCCGTAGACACGTGCACACTCAGTGTTTGTAGTCAGGGCAGTATTAGAGATGCGTGTTTGGGCGTCTTGGAAAATAGTTTTATTTTCACGTGACGATTTATACTATGGATAGAAACTGCATCGGACAACAGGCACAGTCCAGCAAAGATAGGATGGAGAAACTCATCCAAAATCCCAAAGTTAATACAAAATGGCGTTAAGAGATGCGAGGGTGTTTCATAAAGTTTCAGGGAGTTCTAGGAAACACAGCACTAAACGATAAGGTGGTTCTGGCGTTAAAAATGTGCACGGTATTTTCGTAACAAGCGTTTTTGCATCAATATTTTCAAGATCTCTGAGATGATCAATACAAACATATTGGCAACACGCATTGTAGTACGTGAGGAATGTAGGACATGCAGACAAAACGTGAAGTGTAATTTATACGGAATGGAAAGGGCAGGTGGCCAACCTCTGCCACCCACCTGGAGTATGATGTTGCCCTTAGCGGCCCTCCTGCTGCACCTGCGGGAGTCTCCGGAAGTGTCCCTCTGCCCCCCCTCTGCTCTCCCCGGCTTCTTATAAACGGAAAGGCCCACCTGCGTTCCTAAGACGCGACCCTAAGGGCTTCAGCGATCGGAGGTAGGGACGAGAGCAAGCTTTAAGGATGGTGGCTCGCACAGGAGGGTGACTGAGGAGATGACAAATTTCTGGTAACGCCCGTCCTGCACTCTTTACTTGCACTGAAAAACATACCCGCGGTGTCTTGGTGCACAATTTAGTAGTTTGGAAGTGATGCACGCCAGCGCGCACAGGTTTATCCCGGGCCAGGCTCTCCTGTAGCTGTCACCCCCAGCGTAACTTGAGGAGCGTGCAGGAGAGGAGGAGCTGCGAAGCTTGAACTCCACCCGAGCTGCTCCCGGCCAAGTCCCCGTGGCGCATCAGGCCTGGCTCGCAGGCTCCTGGGGGCGCGACCTCCAGCTGGCTGCTTCAGCGTTCTCGCCCGCTCCAAAAGGCGCCTTTTCTGACCTGGCCGCTCTGTTCTCGCCCGCTAGAGCATCCTGGCCCGCTCAGCTGCCTGGAAGACCAAGGGAGTGTGCTCTGCCAAGGCCGGCAGCCTGCGGGAGAACGTGAAGAAGAACCGCTACAAGGACGTGCTACCGTGTGAGTGCGGGGCTTCGGCGGGGAGCAAGGGGCGCACGCTCTGCCTCGCTGCCCAAACAGGTGTCAGCGCTCCGCAGCCGCGCAGTTTGTTGCCCGGACAGTGCTTCTGTGGGCGCCTGGGGCAGGAGGGGAGCCAGGCAATTGCACGGACGCCCCTCTCACCCGCACATCCCACATTTCTCATCTCGCCCACGGGCAGACGACCACACGCGAGTGATCCTCTCCCTGCTGCATGAGGAAGGACACAGCGACTACATCAACGGCAACTTCATCCGGGTCAGGCCTGGGGCCGGGGAGGAGGGCATCTCGGGGAGGTGAGGAGGGGCGAGGCAGCCTGCTGCGAGCCCGCAATGACCGCGCCTCTCCCTGGTAGGGCGGGGACGGAGGTCAGGCCTACATCGCCACACAAGGGCCGTTGCCTCACACCTTGCTGGACTTTTGGCGCTTGGTGTGGGAGTTCCGGGTCAAGGTCAGCCCTCTGGGGTGGGAGGGGTCGGCTGCCCCAGTGCTCCCAGGGCCGCGTCCGGGACCCTGTCCACAGCACCTCTGTGTGCCCTCCTCCTCGGTTTAGGTGATTCTGATGGCGTGTCGCGAGACGGAAAATGGGCGGGTAGGTATCCTCTGGGCCCCTGGGGGTCACCCTCACCTGCAGCTACACCGTAGATCAGGCGTGGGGACTCACCCTGACTCTCTGCCACCTCTCTCCTTCCTGCCTGCCTGCGCTGGGGGACTCTGGCCCCTGCTCCTGGGCAGATGTGCCAGGTGCGACCCTGGGTGTGCCTGTTCCTTCTGCCCGGTCCCTGCCTGCCCCTGGCTGGTTCCACAGGTACTTGTATGGGTGTTAGGTGCTCAGTGAGAGCACCCTGTATGCTCCCGCGGCACTACCTTTGTCTTGCATTCTCTGACACACTAGGGGACTCTGAGTATGGAATGCACCTGCCAGCAAGGCTATTGTTTTTGCTCAGCCTTGTGGAGACGCCATCACCCACTTCATGTCCACAATCTAGTGGCTTAACACATGGGTCCAGATTCTGCATTCGTCACCATTATGAGTTGGAGAATTTAAACACACACTGCTCTCCTTCCCCCTAAAGAAATCCTGTACTTTGAAGAAGTTTTCTTCCCCCCATTTCTCACCGGTCTCTGCAGCCCCAGGCAGCCGCAGACATGTTCAGGTTGTCTGTGGACTTGCCTCTTCTGGACATTGCCATGTGTATGGCTGTACCTAGCAATCAACATTTCGCTCTGTTTTATTGGCAAGTTATATTCCATTGAATGGATCCATCCGTTTGTAGACCTGGAGTCATTTCCATTTTTAAAAAGATTTGTTTATTTTTATTTGAAAGTTACAGCAAGGGAGAGACAGAGATCTTTCATCTGTTGGTCCACTCTCCAAATGGCTACAATGCCTGCAGCTGGGCAAAGCCAAGAGCCAGGGGCTTCTTCATGGTCTCCCACATAGGTGGCAGGAGCCCAAGCATTCGGGCCATCCTCTGTTGCTTTCTCAGGCTGTTAGCAGGGAGCTGGATCAGAACTGAAGCCGCTGGGACTTGAACTGGTGCCTGTCCAGAATGCGAGTGCTGCGGGCAGGAGCTTAACTTCTCATGTCACTGTGGAGGCCCGCCCATGGCGGCTTGTTTGGCTGCTGTGACTAACAGGGTCACAGACGTTCACGTGTGTCCGTGTGGAGCTCCGTCTTCACTGCACTCCACCTAGCAGTGGAGTTACCGGGTCACAGGAGAACTCTATTTTGGCATTTTGAGGAACTGGCACGCTGCACGCATCTCTCTGCCTCCGCACTCGGGCACAGGAGGACCAGGATTTCCTCACATGCTCACGGACACGTGTTTCCGTCCTTTTGACTATTCTAGAGGTGGAGAACTGGTGTTGTGTGTCTTTTTGTGGTTGTGATGAAATACGCACTGCATGCAGTTCCTCATTGCAGCCCCTTTAGGTGGCATGAAGGAGACTCAGTGGCATTTCTAATGCCCACATCGTTATCTCCAACAGAAAACTTGTGCCGGGGCCAACGCGACGGCTCAATTGGCTAATACTCCACCTGCAAGTGCCAGCATTCCAGATCAGTGCTGATTTTGAGTCCCAGAGGCTCTGCTTCCCACCCAGCTCTCTGCTTATGACCTGGGAAAGCAGTACAGGATGGTCCAAAGCCTTGGGACCCTGCACCCACCTGGGGCACACCTACAGGAAGCTCCTGGCTGCTGGCTTTCCGATCGGCTCAGTCCTAGCCATTGCATCATGCTCACTTTCCTTATGCTTCTGAACTGGCATCTAAGAGATTGTTACCTAATTAAAGCTCTTAAAGATTTACTCCTATGTTTTCTTCCAAAGTATTCATTTATTTATTTTGAAAGAGTCATAGAGAGGGGGAGAGACAGACATCTTCCAGCAGCTACAACAGCTAAGGCTGGGCCAGGCCAAAGCCACGAGCATCTCTCAGGTCTCCCACGTGGGTTGTAGGGGCCCAAGCTCTTGGGCCGTCTTCTGCTGTCCCAGGCACATTAGCAGGGGGCTGAAAGGAAGCGTAGCAGTTGGGACTCAAACCAGTGTCCAGATGGGATGCCGGGCATTTGTAAGCAGCGGCTTTACATGCTATGGCACAGCTGCAACCCCGGTGTTTGTTTTTTGTTTGCTTGTTTGTTTTGTAAACCCCAGTGTTTTGTGGTTTAATCTCTTACATGGATGTCTCAGATTCATATTCATTTTTGTGTGGACTATGATCTAGAAGGTCCAGATTTCTTCATTTGCATGTGGATATACCAGTATTCTAGCAATATTTGTGGAATGAACAAGGCTTCCTGCATGGAATGAACTTGACCCTCTCGATGGAAACTAGCTGATTGTCAGTGTCAGCATTTATTTCTGAAGACTGTTTTACTCCATTGATCAACATGCCTAGCTTCCCGCCAGTTAAACCCAAGTTTGGATTTTAGCACTTTGACAGTGAGTTTAGAAATCAAGTACTGTGGAGTCCTCCAGATGAGCCTCATATTTAATTTTTTAAATGGATGACTCTAGAGCTTGGCACAATGCCTCAATTAGCTAATCCTCCCACTTCAAGTGTGGGGATCCCATATAGGCACTGGTTCATATCCCAGCTCCTCCACTTCCCATCCAGCTCCTTTGTGGCCTGGGAAAGCAGTAAAGAACAGCCCAAAGCCTTGGGACCTGCACTCCGGGCTCCTGGCTTTGATTTGGTTCAGCTCTGGCCATTGTGACCATTGGGGGAGTGAACTAGCAAATGGAAGATTCTTCTGTCTGTCTCTTCTTCTCTCTGTAAATCACCTTTCAAATAAAACTAAATAAATCTTAAGAAAAACAAGTCACTGCTCTGGGTGGATCCCTCGCTGTGTGAACAGGGTTGACGGAGCAGGCACAACTGCCTTTGTTTTCGTGTATGTTTGGCCCTTGCCGGGTCCGGGAGTTTGCCTTGCTGGTTGGAGGGGCTCACTACGCACACACTGGTGTGTCTGCCTTGTTTTCTCCACTCTGTCGCTTTTGCCAGCTTTATCCCATGCTACCAGTCATGACGGTAGGCATGACCATGTGTTAAATGCTGTGTGTCCCCGTGGAACCTGCGGTGGCCTTTCATGCCCACGACACCAGCCTGTGTCATGTACAGTCCTGCTGGGATCTTGCAGGGACTGCATTGGGCGGGGGGCGGAGAGGGGGCGCCCAGGTCACTTTGGAGGGCATTGCCATCTGAACCACATTGTCTCCCAGCCTCTCAACACGGGGGTCTTCTCCTAGCTCTAGGTGCTTGTTCATGGTTGTCAGCAGGCTTTAGTAGTGTCCAGATGACCAGCTCTGCACCTTTAAATACTTATCCCTAAGAACTTAGTCACGTGCCTCCATGGTATCGTAAATGGCCTTGTTTCTTGCTTGGCTCACTGTAAACCAAACAGCATTGTAGAAACACAGTGGCTTGCTCTGTCTTGTCTTGCATCCTGTAACCTTCCTGAAGTTGTGTATTAGCTTTAGTAAGTGGGCGTATGCATGCATGTGTGTGCGTGTGTGCGCACGCGTGGACTCTTTGGAGCTTTCTACATAGAAGCTCATGTCAGCTGTAACTCAACAGTTCTATTTCTTCCTTTCCGATCTGGGTGCCCTTTCTTCCTCACAGTCTTCCTCCTCTCTCCCTCTCCCCTTCCTTGTCTTACTTCCTCTATCTATTATCTATCTATCTATGCATCCGGCGTCCATCTGTCTGGACTCCTTTTCCTGCTTGCACTGGCTAGGATTTTTAGGACACATAGAAATGCCAACACTCCTGCCTTGTTTCTGATTTGCAGGGCAAAACATTCCTTTTTCACCATGAAGTGTGCTGTTATTTGTGGACTTTGAATGCATATTTTCTGTCATGTTGAGCGGTTTTCTTTCCAGTCCTGCTTGCTTTCATGTTCCTATTATGAAGGGATGTTGGATGTGTCAAAAAAAAAACCATGTCTGTTTCTACTAGATGGTTATATTGCGTGTGTGTGTGTGTTTTAGTATATATGCTGCCGAAGTGAGCACGTGTGGGTTTTTTTTTTTTTAAGATTTACTTTTTAAATTTTAATCAGAAAGCCAGATATACAGAGAGGAGGAAAGACAGAAAGGAAGATCTTCCATCTGCTGATGCACTCCACAAATGGCTGCAACAGCCAGAGCTGAGCCTATATGAAGCCAGAGCCCGGAGCCTCTTCCAGGTCTCCCACACGGGTGCAGGAACCCAAGGCTTTGGGCCGTCCTTGCCTACTTTCCCAGGCCACAGGCAGGGAGCTGGATGGGATGGGGCCACCAGGATTAGAACTTGGCACCCATATGGGATCCCGGCACGTGTGAAGTGAGGACTTAAGCTGTTAAGCTACCACACTGGGCTCCTTGTTTTGTATTTTGTTAACAAGGTGTATGACATTGATTTCTCAAATGTTGAGCTAGTCTTGCGTTCTAACGATGAATCCCTCTTGGTCATGGTGCACAATATGTGGCTGGTGTTTTCGCTGAGAGCACTGGCTAGTTATTTTCTGTGATTCAAACTGGCTGCAGAGTATATACTGGGGAATCTTTGTCCCGTTCCTTCTGTAACAGTTTGGGAGAGAGGGTGTCAATTCATCCGGAATTGTTTGGTCAGACTTACTGGATTCCCTTCTCCAAATGCTAAACTTGAGAGTCACAGCTTTCCCATTTTTCTTCATTCTTCAATATTTTGTGCAAATCCAAATCGGCTTGCATTGGTTTAAAAAAGCCTTTTTTTTTTTCCTTTTTAAATGTCAGCATTTTTAGGAGGTCTCAGGGTTGATTTTTGCCCTACAGAGATTCTGTAAATTCTGCTGCCCGCCTTCTCTTTGTTTCTTAGTGTCTGTTTTACCAGTCTGTGCGATGCGTTGAAGCTCCTTGTCTTTCTCACCGGTTTTCAGCTGCTGGATCCCAGCTGCCCCAGGGTGACTTCATGTGTGTTCTCTCCTCAGCTCTTGGCTTCCTCGGAGCTGGGTGTCTTATCTCCACCAAGTGTGGGCAAGTTCTCAGCTCTTATTTCTTCAAATGTAGTTTCTGTTCTCCCTCCGCTTGACCTTCTCAACCCCAGGGACACACACATTAGATCCCCTGGTCTAATTCGCTGATTCTGTTTTCTTTCTTTCTTTCCTTTTTTTTTTTTTTTTAAAGTTGTCTAATAGTTTCTCTTTTATCATTTATTTCAGAAAAAAAGTTTATTTCTTTTTCATTTGAAAGGCAGCTGTCCAGAGAGAAGGAGAGAAATCTTATATCTGCTGATTCACTCCCCAAAAGGTCGCAATGGTTGGTATTCAGCCAATCTGAAGCCAGGAGCTTCCTCTGGGTTCCCCACATGGAGGTAGAGGCTCAAGGACTTAAGCCATCCTTTACAGCTTTCCCATACCATGAACAGAGATCTGGATTGAAAGTGGAACAGCCAGGACTCAAACTAGCACCCATGTGGGATGTCGGCACTGCAGGTGGAGGATTAGCTTGCTATGCCACCAAGCCAGCCCCTCTCTGTTTTCATATTGAGTATTTCTTGCAGCTCTGCCTTCACATCCACAGAACTTTCCCTCCGGAGTCTGACACGCTAGCAAACAGAGGATTTTTCCATGTTGTGTGTTTTATTTCTCCCCAGTGGAAGTTCACTCTTTATCATATGAAGGCTGGACTTTTTCATCTCGGAATATATTTACCATGAGCTATTTCCAGTCTCTGGTTTCTTTCTTCACCTGTATTCATTTTGGGGACCGATGGGCTGTCATTTCCTGCCTCCCTTTCAGGGATGCTGGCCTCTTCCTGGAAGGCACATAGAGGCTGCTCCTGACCACGGCTGTTCTGAAATCCCCCCCAGGGCGGGTCCAGGGAAGCATCAGGTTAGCACCACTGGCAACGAGCAGACCCTCTGGGTACCCCTACTCACCCCCAGCCAGGCCTTTCTGCGGGAGAGAACACGCATTACTTCTGCCCCACCTCTGGACACAAGGGGATGTTCACCCGGTGGAGCCCTGGTTCTCACATTCCCATGGAAGGTTAGTCTGACCTGGCCTCAAGGGATTTCATGCCAGCCTTTAAAAATTTCAGAAAACCAGGACTGTGTTTTGGCACCACACGCTAAGCCCACCAATTAGCATCCCATGCCAAAGCCCCAGTTCGAGTCTCGGCTACTTCACTTCCCATCCAGCTTCCTATGAATGCATCTGGGAAAGCAATGGAGGCTGGTCCGTGTGCCTGGGTCCCTGCCACCTGCGTAAAAGACCAGGATGCAGGTCCTGGCACTGTCATTGCAGCCATCTGAGGAGTGAGCCAGGAGATGGAAGAACTTTCTCTTTCCCTCGTCTGTATCATTCTGCCTTTCAATAAATACAGCACTTCTTTTACAAAAATTGATGGCAGGTGTTAACATTGTGGAATAGCAGATAAATCCACTGCCCGAAACACCAGTATCTTGTATGGGCACTGGTGTGACACCAGCTGCTCTACTTCCCATCCAGCTCCCTGCTGATGTCCTGGCAAGACAGTGGAGGATGCCCCAAGTACTCTCCCTGCTATCCACATGGGAGACCTGCAGAAGCTCTTGGCTCCTGGCTTCTTGTGGTCTCTGGGGAATAACCAGAGAATAGAACATCTCTCTCTCTCTCTCTCTTTCTACAAATCTTTCAAATAAAAGACAAGCTCACTATTTATTTTAAAAAAAGACATTATAGAAAATAACAGTAAAATATAAATTTCAGTACAATAAAAATCCATGCCTTGTTTTTCATAATGTGTATTTTCCATGAACATGGTAAAGGTGCCTGATGCTTATTCAGCCAGACTCAAGAAATAGACACCCCCATGCAGATTTTTGGAGGGCTTTTAGGTGATGGTGGGTTTTGTGTTTGTTCTTTTTTTGCATAATTCTGCTCTTTCCGGGACTCTGTCCCGCCAGTCATGGGGACCTTGGCTTCCCTGAGCCGTGACCTCTGGCTTGCAAGCTCAGCGAGGTCACTAAATTGCTCATATCCCACAGCCTTGTGCCTGTCTGCCAGCCGTGAGCTGGGCAGTTTGTCCAGGCACTGGCTGTCCTCCGTGCTGACCTCCAGTGTCATGGTCAGTGATTTGGCTGGGTTCCCATGGTCAGCAGCTTCCTCCAAACCCCTCTTTCTGCCAAGTCTGCATGGGTGTGCGACCTGACCAGTTTGGCCAGCTCCACTACGGCTGCAGCTGCCTGCCTGTGGTTCCTGCAGCAGCCTGGGCTGGCCCAGGAGGGTGTGGACTGCGGAGCTGCGGCTCTGAAGGTGACCCCCACATCCTCATGCCATCCATTTCCCTCGGCCTTTTCAGAAGAAGTGTGAGCGCTACTGGGCCCAAGAGCAGCAGCCACTGCAAATCGGGTTTTTCTGCATCACCCTGGTGAGCTGGGGCCAGGATGGGGGTGGGGGCTGCAGCCTGGGATGCTGGATGCTGGGGGGCTTCCACTCTAGTAGGTCATCCAGGGGTGAGGGCTGGTGGCTCCTGTCCCCACACCGTGGGAGACACACAGGGCTCCCAGAGACTGACACAGCAAATACATCCGCAGATATGCATGGCCCCTGCATTTTGTGCCCACGGTCACAATTCCTTCTCCCATGTACACATGCATGCTTGGGTTCTGGAAATCCTTCACTCTTAGCATGTTGCAAGAACCCAGGAAAATGCACGTTTGCTTTAGAACCAAAGAAATCCTTTGTTTTTACCATGAGAAAGGGCATGTTTGGGTTTGTGCCTTAGTCATGGGTCCTCTCTGTGCCAACGGCAAGAGTTTCCTCCACACTTTGAACTGGGGCGGGGGGGGGGGCGGGTGTTTGGGCTAAGGGAAGATTTGCTGGGCTTTCGGAAGACGTGCCTTTGGGCACCTATGATGTGTGTTCTCCTCTGTCTTTTCACCTGCCCCACGTTCTCAGACCAGAGAGGCACAGCTGAACACAGACGTCACACACAGATCCCTCCAGGTCACATTCCAGAAGGTACTGTTTGCGGGGGGCTGAGGGGGAAACCCATGTTCTGTAAAACAGGCATTCACAACAGCACCTCCTCATTTTTTTTTTAAATGAGGCAGGGCATTAGAAAGGGACACACACACACACAGAGCGAGTCTATCATGCACTGGGCTGTAACAGCTGGGCTGGTCCAGGCTAAAGCCAGGAGCCTGGAACTTCCCTGTGGTCTCTTCTGTGGACAGCAGGGGCCCAAGCACTCGTCTATTGCTTTCCCCTGGTGCATTATCAGGGCGTGGGATGGGAAGTAGAGCAGCCGGGACTCCAACCAGTACTCCGGCATGGGATATAGGCATCGCCAAGTGGCAGCTTCGCCCACTGGACGTCAAGGTCACTGCTAGTCCCACTTGTCACTTACTATGGGTGGATGATTATCTGTGGGAGATGCTTAAAACTGGGCCTGGCATTTAGAAGCTGCCGGAGACACTCCCTCTGCTTTCTGTTTCAGGAGTCGCGTTGTGTGCACCAGTTGCAATACTCCTCCTGGCCAGACCGCGGCGTCCCCAGCAGCTCTGACACTGTGCTCACCATGGTGGAGGAAGCCCGGCGTCTTCATGGGACCAGCCCTGGACCACTCTGTGTCCACTGCAGGTTCAGACACTGGGCTTCAGGGGGTGGAGTGCTAACCTGTCCCCCTGCCCGAGAGTTTTTAGAATTTAGAACTTTTTGCGTGGGCTGGAGTTGTTAGCATTGGTCAAATTTGGACTGCCGGAGGCACAAACTGTTTGACTCCAGATAAGCTAGTGACTATAAAGTTTTTCCTTTGAAATTGTAATTGGAGGGTTCTGAGAATCGAGAGGTCTTCTGCAGACCCAAATGCACCATATTTTTAAAGGTTTATTTAGTTATTTGAAAAGCGAGTTAAACAGAATCTTTCAGCCACTGCTTCATTCCCCAGACAGCTGCAAGCCAGCACTCTTCCAGGTCTCCCCCATGGGTGCAGGGATTCCCCATGGGTGCAGACTCTTCCAGGTCTCCCCGATGGGTGCAGGGATCCAAGTACATGGGCCATTTTCCACTGCTTTCCCAGATGCATTAGCAGGGAGCTGGATTGGAAGTGAAGCAGCAGGGATTCCTTCTGGCATTCACATGGGATGCCAGTGTGGCAGGTGGTGGGGTGGCTTCACCTCGCGGGTCCCCCAAAGTACCATGGCAGCGGGGAGACACCCCTCTCCCCCCACACCAACCTAGCTCTGCTTCTCGCTCTGCAGCGCGGGCTGTGGACGAACAGGGGTCCTGTGTGCCTTGGATTACGTGAGGCAGCTGCTGCTGACCGAGGTACCCCTTGGGACTGGGAAACGCGTGGTGCTCACACGTCCTGCACTCACGGGGGCCTGCACTCACGGGGCTCATCTCTCCGGCTCCAGACACTCCCACTGGACTTCAGCCTCTTTCATTTGGTGTTGGAGTTGCGGAGGCAGCGGCAGTCGGTGGTGCAGACAGAGGTGCGCCCTGGGGACACGGGGCCGCCCCCTCCCCCGCATCCCTCCTTGATGGGCGCTCACTCCCACAGGAGCAGTACCGGTTCCTACACCGCACGGTGGCCCAGATGTTCCGCTCAGCGCTGCAGACAGCCAGCACCCAGTATCAGAACGCCAAGGAGGTAGCACGCTGTCTGCCCACTCGCGTCCATGCTCAAGCCCCTCGCCTGGAGCACATCCAGCGGACCCACAACCCTCCCCGCCTATCTTCCCCAGATCCTTGGACCCGTCTGTGGCACTGAGGCCCTGTTCTCCTCGAGAGAGACTCCAGCATGGCTTCTAGACACGTCCCACCAAGCAGGCGGGCTCCTCAGGTACCGGCCGCATCTCTCCCTCCACCCCCAAGCTCTGAAGCGTGCCAGCCCTCTCCTTCCCCGTCCAGCCAAAATGCCACTGCCAACATGACTTTGAGCAAGTATTTCTCAGGCCTTAGACTGGTTGGAGCAGGTAGTAGGGGACACTGAGTCTCCTTCCACGCAAGGGATCTCGCCCTCCACTCCGGGGTTAGCGTCTTTACTTGCCACTTCCTCTCTCTTTAAAAACTCCAAGCCCAAGTTCACAGGCACCATCACCCTCTATTCCGGAGACCCGCACCTTCGCACCTTCGTGCTCCTGTCATGCTGTCCCTGCCTCGCCCCTCCACTTAACTGGCGGGGCGCGCAGGGGCGCGGGGGGGTGGGGGTTCTGTGCAGGCCCCACCCGGTGCCCTTTGAACCTCAGCGCCTTCTCCCTTCTTTCCTGCGTGGGCCGTCGGAGAGGGCAGGAAGCTTGCGGTTTGGGCGAGGGCGGCTCACATTTTCCGTTTCACTTCCTCCGCGCGCTCCTCGTCCGCAGGAGCACCTCCGAGCCCGGGGCGCAGACCCTCACCATGGCCGACACGTACGCGGTGGTGCAGAAGCGCGGGACCTCCTCGACGGCGGGCGCAGGTGCGGGTTCGGGCGCGCGGACAGGTGGCCCCGACGCGGAGAGGCTCTACAGCCACGTGACGCCGCGCGCCCTGCGGCCGGGAGCGCAAGCGGAGGACAACGCGCGGGGGGCGCCGCCTGCGCGCGGTGAGTCGAGGCCGGCCCTGGGCGCTGGGGCGCCGGAGCGCCCGGGCTGGGGCTAGGGCGGGCCGCCACCCACCTGCTACTTCTCCGGAACTCGCAGTTTGCTGGACAACTGCCCTCTTCCCTCCTCCCCCAGGCTGTTCTTGGCGTTCTTTAGTTACGCCCCGTGTCTATGGGGAACACCCCCAAAACGTCTTCAGACTGAACCAGCTGGGTTCCTGGCTGTGATGTCAGCTTGTTTGTGCGGTGAGGGCCAGGGCGGATGTACGGGGCTTGGCCACTCCCACCCCCGCCTGCCGTCCTCCCACCCCCAGTCAGCCACCTCCGAGGGCCTCTGGGCTTCCCCGGAGGCCCCAGGGCCGCCTGTCCAGCGTGAGGTCCCCAATACCCTGGGGCCCCAGCTGAGCTGAGCTGAGCTGTGGGTGTGGTCTTCTGCCCACAGCTGCTGCTGACCAAAGCCCTGCAGGACCTGACGCCTATGAAGAGGTGGCTGATCTGGCTCAGACCGGTGGAATGGGTAAGAAGCCGGAGCCTGTATCCCTGTGGCCCCCCAGGGAACCCTAGAGTTTGGGATACAGGGCTGGGGGCCTGTTCGAGGCCGGTGGATGTGGCGGCCGAGGCTTGGGGACAGCCGCCTGCAAACTGGCCACCTCCCCACACCCCATCTCCTCCGTGTGACCCGCTCTTCCTTCCCCAGGCTTCAACCTGCGTGTCGGAAGGCCCAAAGGGCCGCGGGACCCTCCTGCCGAGTGGACCCGAGTGTGAGCGCCGCCCCCCACCCGCTCCGCTTGGATCGGCCTGCTGCTGCTTGTGGGAGTTCAACACCACTCTTCCATGCTACGGATTGGAAATGGGGACGCTGGACTTGGATTACAATAAAAGCCTGGTAGCCTGGGGACTTTGGGGGCTTCGCCCCACTGATGCCGGTGTTCCAAGCTGGAGGCCTGGGCAGGTGCGGCTGCTCCCAGCTGATGCCAGAATGAACGTGGGGGTGGGCCTTGTGCTATTGGGTTGGATCACCTCCTGCTCTTACCAGCATCTCATATGGGTGACGGATGGAGTCCTGGCTGCTGTACTTCTGATCCAGTACCCTGCTAATGTGCCTGGGAAAGCAGCGAAGGATGGCTCAGGTGCTTGGGCCCCTGCACCCACGTGGGAGGCCAAAAAGAAGCTCCTGACTCCCAGTTTTGGACCAGCCCAGCTGTGGCTGTTTCAGCCATTTAGAGAGTAAACAAGAGAATGGAAGATCTCTCCTTCCCATCCTTGCCCTGTAACTCTGCCTTTCAAATAAATATTTTTTATATATATATAAAAGAAAAGACTACAAGATGGGCAAGGTCCCTGGGTTGTGAAGGAAAGCATGCACAGATGGGCCTGCTGAGGCTGTTCCTGCCCCACAGAACGAACTGGTTCATGCTTGGTGTCTGAGCATCCCAGACAGCCAAGGGGGGAAAAGATAGACCCTCATGGACCTCCCCCAGCCACTCCAATCTTAAAATAGCCACAGCCAGGCAGACTGGCCCAGACAGCTAAAAAGATCCCTCAGATAAACACAGTCAGACCACCAGAGGACCAGTCCGTGGCTGGGCAAGTGGACACTCAGCCAGCAGCCTGACCCACAGAGCTGAACAGTGCCACTGAAGGTAGCCCATTGCCAGTTGCACCAACCAGATGGGCCGCTTGCTGAACACACAGACAGATGGACAGACGCACAACATCTCAGCTGCAGCAGGCCCCCCAACCCTCCACATGGGCAGGCTGACAGGCTTTCTAACCCCAACCGGCCTCCTGACTAGGTTGGCACTGCCAGACAGACACAACCCTGTCTGCCCACACAGCTGGCCTTCCAGACACCCGGCTAGCTGGACAGATGGATCCCAGGGGAGGTGGACAGGCCTGGGTAGGCAATACTGAATCTTCATGTGACAGCCATATTGAGGCCCACGCTGTTGGGTAGACGAGCTGGCCAGACAGGTAGTGAGCATCTCCTGCAGGCATCTGAAGTTGGAGTGATCTCATTTTATTCCTACCAGTTTCTCACTGAGCAAATGCTACGGATGAACTGTGCATATGCCATTGAGCTGAGTTGGTCTCCAGAAACGCCATCAGTGTTGGTTAACTGGGGATTGGAAACCAAGAACCATTGTCTAGTCCTGAACAGCTCTGGGGGAGGGATCTCAGGAAGGCTAAAGCTGGCCTCCCCCAGGACATGCTCTGTGGTTTCCCTGTAATATCACGTTGGCATTGTTGATGGCGTGCTGCTTTGAGGTCACACACCTGTTTCTCTGTGAGGACACCCTGTGAGCCAGCAGCCATTGTGTCGGTGGCAGAGCTGTGTCGAGCGCCGCCTACTGGCAGACGCTTCTCCGCCCCGCCCAAACCCACTTTGCAGTTGTTTTTCTAGCCCCTGCCTTAGGGGATTTTCTGCGGTAACAGCGGTAACAGCGACGTGGAGCTGTAAATTGTGGGGTGGTAGGGACTGGGGAAAGGGGAAGAGAACTTCAAAAGGCTGGTGGAGGGGCTGCCCTTAGGTGTCCTGTGCCTGGGATAGAAGAGGAAGCTGGCCCAAGCACTTGGCTCCTGCCACCCACGTGGGAGGCTGGGACAAAGCTCCTGGCTAGGGCCTAGCCAGGTCCCTGGCTGTTGTGGCTGTACTGGAAGTGAACCAGCTGATGTGCATTCTCTATTTCTCCCTCTTTCTGTAACTCTGTCTTCGAAATAAATAAATCTCTGGAAAAAAAATTGTTAAAAGAAGAGCATGGAAAATGAAATAAGGGGCTGGCTAAATGGCTCAACTGGCTAATCCACCTGCAAACACTGACATCCTGTGTGGACACTAGTTTGTGTCCTGGCTGCTCCCCTTTCTATCCACCTCTGTGCTGTGGCGTGGGAGAGTGGTGGAGGATGGCCCAAAGCCTGCACTTGCGTGGGGGACCCGGAAGAGACTCCTGGCTTTGGATCAGCTCAGCTCCAGCTGTTGCAGCACTTGGGTGATGAGCCCCCAAACAGAGGATCTTTCTCCCTGTATTGCTTTTTCTCTGTGTATCTTCTTTTCCAACAAAAACAAGTATTTTGAAAAAGTGAAAAGAAGTAATTTTATTTTGGTGCGAAAATGTCAGAACAGTGCATGGGAGAGATCTAGAAAGAAAATATGTGTTATGAAAAAACCTGTGGGTGGATCTCAGGCTTTTTGCACCCAGTTATAATGCCTTTGTTTCATTTTGAAGTACCCTCACTCGTTTTCACTTACATATCTATTTGCTTATGATTGATCCTCCGAAGAAGGCCACAAGAAAGAGAACAGTGGTCTGTGGGCATGCAGGAGTAGGGTTGTCTCTTTAATCTGGCATGTCCCAGAAAGCTCCTGTCCAGCAAGGCCACTTCGATGTGTCAGGTCAAGGCAAGACCCAGCCCCTTGGGGTGAGCGCCATGGGCCCTACGTGCCTGTGCCCGTGTCTTTGTGAGATGACGGCTGACTCATCAGGTGTCGCTGTGGCCTCTCTCCCTTCCGCCTGTTTTCTGCAGCATGCCCCCTCGCAGGGTTACCCCTGCTTCCTGACTGCTCTGAAACAATGTGTTGTAGCTCCAGAAAGGCCCTTCTCCATCCAGGCAGCGTCAGCTCTAGTAACAGGATGGTTTCCAAACGGAGGTGGCAAATGCAACAACCCAGATGTCCATTCCGCAAATATTGTGATGCACCCTGGGTGAGAGAGTAGGGGAAAAAAAAAGCAAACAAATGTGGAAGTCTGCCCTTTTTAACTCAATGCCCACAATAGCTGGAGCCAGAGTCCAGCAGGCTGGAACTCATCACGGGTCTTCCACGTAGATGACAAGGCTCTGCAGCCGTGCGTGGGCCGTCATCTGCTGTCTCCCGGGGTGCACAGTGACCAGGAAGCTAGGAGAGAAGCAGAGCTGCAGCTGCAGCCCAGAGGCTCTGGTACAGGATAAGGATCTGATGTCAGCCCCAACACCACATGCTTTTTAATGACCAGGCAGGGGGTAGGCTCACGGCCAAGGGTATTCTCATTTTTTTTTTTCTCTGAGATAACACTCATATCCTTTGTCACTGGGGTTCGCAGCCTCTTTGCAGAGGTCTTTTTTGCATGTTGAGAACAAAGCCCACTGCCATTTTTCTGAGGTCTCAAGGCTAGTGGGAGTGGGCAAACGTTTGTGTGCTTTCCCACTTGGAAGTATATCTTCTTCAAAAATAACGAAGGCAGGAGCGGCATGTTCAACAGTATTCACACACGAAAAGGAGCAAGTAACACTGACAGACAAGGACTACTGCAAGAGCAGAGTACGGAAAATGCCTTCGCTCTAAGGCAGAGGCAGGACATCGCATGCAAACTAGCTACGTGATTGCAACCGCAGCGAAATAGCCAACAGCCTCGTGCCAATGACCTCTTCTTGTTAGAGGATGTGGGGAAAAAAATCGCAAACAGCAGTGTGGTCCTATGAGATCTTCCCATTCACAAACATTAAGTTAAACGAGTCAGGGGGCTGGCTGAGGGGTTCAGCTGCCTGCATCTCATACTGGAGCATCTCGGGGGGCTGACCCAGATCTGGCTCCTGAGTCCAGCTTCCTGCTAATGTTCCTACTCTGGGAGTCAGTGGTTGTTAGCTCTGTACCACCCAGGTACAAGACCTGGCCCAAGTTCTCAGCTCCTGCCCAGTCCTAGCCCCTGTGGGAATCTAGGGAGAGAGTCGGCTGTGGGGAGATCTCTTTGCCTGTGTCTCTCTGCCTCCTGATAAATAAGCTTTTTTTTTAAAAAAAAATATTTATTTGTTTTTACTTGAAAGACAGATTTACAGAGAGGAGAGACATAGAAAGATCTTCCATCTGCTGATTCAGTTCCAAAATGGTCGCAGCAGCTAAAGCTGAGCTGATCTGAAGCCGGGAGCCAGGAGCTCCTTCCCAGTCTCCCATGTGGGTGCAGGGTCCTAAAGACTTGAGCCTTCCTCGGCTGCTTTCCCAGACCGTAAGCAAGGAGTGGGATGGGAAGTGGAGCAGCCCACACACTGGAACCCACAGGAGATGTTGACAGCGTAAGCAAAGGATTGGAGTGCTGAGCCACAGACCAGGAGATAAAGTGGAGAGAGGCAGAAGCAAGGCAGGCAGGGGGTCCTGCAACTTCCGGGAAGAGGTGCTCACTGCCTTCAGCCCCCAGCCCCTAGAAAAGCTGCAAAGGGCCCTCTGCAACCCCACCAGCCACACCCCCAGCCTCAGCCTCCAGCAGAACGCTGTTTTTCACAGTATTTTCTCTTGGATTGACTTTACATTGGATCATTTTTAAATGTGTTAATTTTTATTTGAAAGGCAGAGTTATACACACAGAGAGATCTGCCATCTGCTGGCTCACAAATAGTCACAATGGCCAGAGCTGAGCCAATCCGAAGCCAAGAGCCAGAAGCTTCTTCCGGGTCTCCTATGTGGGTACAGGGTCCCAAGGCATTGGGCATTCCTCTACTGTTTTCCCAGGCCAGGAGCAGGGAGCCGGATGGGAAGTGGAGCAACGGGCAGGGCATGAACTGGTGCCCTTATGGGATACTGGCCCTTTTGGGTGGAGGATTAGGCAGTTGTGCCATCATGCTGGCCCTGAAGTGATTAACACTCAAAACCTTTTCATTTGGGGCCCGGCGGCGTGGCCTAACGGCTAAAGTTCTCGCCTTGAATGCCTGGGATCCCATATGGGTGCCGGTTCTGGTCCCGGCAGCTCCACTTCCCATCCAGCTCTCTGCTTGTGACCTGGGAAAGCAATTGAGGACGGCCCAATGCTTTGGGACCCTGCACCCACGTGGGAGACCTGGAAGAAGTTCCCGGTTCCTGGCTTTGGACCGACACAGCACTGGCTGTTGCGCTCACTTGGGGAGTGAATCATCAGACGGAAGATCTTCCTCTCTGTCTCTCCTCCTCTCTGTATATCTGGCTTTGTAATAAAAAAAATAAATAAATCTTTAAAAAAAAAACCACCTTTTCATTTGAGAATTCCCTGTCACATGTTCACTCCCAGGGTACACAAGCCATGGTCTGGAGAACGCAGCAGAGGACCAGATCATCTACAAAC